CTATTTCACAATTTCAGACAGCTGATAAAAAAAAAAAACAACTATGTGGTATGTTTATTCAATCTTAAACTTTATTATAGATTATTTATTGTAAATCTATTTCAATGATTATTAAACAGACTTTTCCCGTTGCGAAGCAGAAATTAATAGTGAGAAGAAGAGCATATTAATTGTAAACCATCAATGTGTAAATTATGTTGTATTAAAAATGTGTATAGTTTTGGATATTGATATAAGTTATTAGTTATTGGATTTTTATTTTAAGGATTTGGCATATGAGTAAGTCTATGATAAATAACACCATTTCAGAATTTTGCCAGTTTTTGCCTAACTCTGTCCTGTAGAGTTTAAAGTAGCCTACACCTTATTGTCTACAAACTGGCTAAATAACTCTAGGTATGGTACTTTATAAACGCTGACAGCCTTTTTACGTTGACTTAAATTGTAAGCTTACCTTTTTCCGTCCATGGACAGTTTAGTTTGATTGTTAATAATTAACCCTTTAAACTGGAATAGGACTGTTATGTAAATTGTGAGTATTTCCATTAGTTAATAATCTTTAAGTTGACTCTTTTAAAATCATCGGAATTATGACTGTTATTAGTTTTTAAACAAGTTATTTGTTTACAAATAACTCCTGTACTTCTTTGCAATTGCTCGATTTCGAGCAACATGTACACTATTTGTGTACTTATTTAATACACAAGCAGGTTTTTTGTGACAATTACTCCTCCGAAACTACTGAACCGAATACCGAAACTGTCAATACATGTTTTTGGTGTCATTGGAAGAGCGTAACGTGAAGTTGTGCAAGAAACTTTCTTTTTAGGGAAATAAATAGAGAGTGAGGCCCTGGGGCCCTTTAAAGTTTTGTATTTCTCCATAAGATTAACATAGGAAACTAAAATTGTTATGAAACTCCAGCTGTTGTCAGAAATTAAAAGTGAGAAGAACATATGTTGATTGTAAACAGTCAATAAGTTTGCTAATTTAAAAGTTTGCTACAAACATTTACTGACTTGGTTGAGATTAAATATTTACTATTTGAATTTGGATTGGCGTAAATATTACAATGGAAAAAAGCGAGAGAGCCTGGATAATTTTGTATACTAAAAAGAAAACTGAATTAACACTGTGCTGCATTTTTTAGAAATCATTGAAAAAGCCGATTTGCTAACTATGGAAACATAGGAAAGTCGTAGAACACCACCAAGGAGAAGAAATAGAAATAATGTTTTTCGGCTGTAATGTAATGCGGCTATGAGTAAGGCTATTTGTAGAAAACACTAAAAAACAAGATTCGCTTTTGAAAAATGATAAGATATTTACAAGAAATGTTGATTATATCGATCTGTTAAAAAAAAACAACACTCGATCACTCTCACTCGATACTCGATCTGTCTTGAGTATTTCCACAATCTCGACTTTTTCAAAGTCATCTGAAATTATTACATTTATTCGTTTTAAAATAACACCTGGAATACTTAGCAATTGCTCGAATTCGAGCAACAGGGACACTATAATTATAGTCTTAATTATTTCCTATATCCATGAATAGGCAGACACCACCTCTTTAAATAAACTGTTGTAGCTTGCTTGTCTGTGGTCATATTTCAATGAAATTTGGAAAATTTGTTCACTTCATACTAAGCTATCAATATTTCAATAAAAAAAACACACCTTATTATCTTCCCTGTAGCAGCAAACCTAAGTAGGCTACTCATTAAAGATTAAAATTAACGATATTTAATTCTATATATATAAAATCTAATGTATGTTTGTTTGTTTGTCCTTTATGGACTCCGAAACCGCTTGACAGATTGTAATGCAACTTTCAGGCATTATTAAGCATTATTCAAGGATGGTTTGTGTGAAGTTTGGTGCAGATCCGTCAAAAGGACTCTGCCCCAGTGGCTCTGGAGTTTACCATGTTAACGTTATATGTACTCATATTTAAATGGAATTAAAATACCCCCGCCGCAGCAAACCTGCCGACTAAGCGAATTTCCATTTGTCTGAACTGATTTTCAATTGAATCTATTTAAATTACTTAATTTAGGTTTAACGAGTACCTTGGTTTGCTGCTACAAGGAAACTATTGTGGGGTTTTAGTAAAATATTAATAGCTTAGTGCAAAATAAATAAATTTGCCAAGTTTTATCAAAATATATCCATAAACAAGCCCAACGACAAATGACATCTGGGTTCAGAATTGATCTTGTTTGGAATCAAACCAGAAGTTTTATATTTTAAGGCGAGTTCTAAAACTCTATAATTACTTAGCTATCAAGACAATAATTTTGTTAATCTTGAAGAAGTAGGAGTGGTAAATATTAGTCTGCATCAGTCCAACCGTCACCTATCGATTCTACAAAATGTTAAAAGATGCTCTGAAAAGCCTATTATAAAATGCAGCATAGTGTGTTATGTTTTTTTTTCATACCCATATTAAATTATAAATTTGTTGTTTTAGAAAGTAAATTTTTGGCCAAATTTCATTACCATGTTTCTAGGTGCACTCCCTGAGATAACTAGCACAGAGCAAGTATAAATCACAAAATTCTCAAAGCATTTTAAATCTTGCATTGCGCTCTAATTTTATGGAAAAACCACATTAGTAAATGGCTTTTTTTTCTAATTTTCTGAAATATATATTCTCTTTACTTTCTACGCCTATAAATAGTATTTAGAGAAAGTATTGTTTTCATCAAAATTTTAGAGTTTGATTTTTGGGTGGATATATTCGTTTTGGGTCCGAAACCCAAAAAAGTTGTTTTTGAAGTTATGTCTGTGTGTGTGTTTGTGTATGTGCATGTATGTAAGTGTGGATGTGTACAGGGATACAGACCATACCTGTGGTCCGAATTTTTTGAAATTTGGTATGTGGGTAAGGTACCACCCTAGTAGTACAAATATATATTAAATACATATGAATAAATATATTTAAAATCTGTTTTATATATCTCAAGTGTGTATCAATGTCAATTTTATAAAATATATGAAATATATAAAAAATATGTTTTTTAATCTATTAAATATTTAAAAAATATGTTCTAGTAATATATTTTAGTGATTAATATTTAAATAAAAAATGTATTTAATATCACTTCCAAACATCCTATGGGGCCTAAACATAAAAACACAAAATAATAAAGATTTAGTATGAAAAGCACAATTATTATCAGTTGAGTAAATTGATTAAATAGTTCATAAAAACAAATTTTGAAAAAAAAACTAGATAAAATTTTCACGGCCCGGACGGGTCTCGAACCTGGGTCCTTCGACTTATGAGCCTCATACCTTACCTCTGAGCTATCTGCGATTGTTGTGAGTCATTGTTTGCAAATGGTGGAAGAGTAGCCGGCAGTTGCAATGGTTGAAATACTTAAAATATTTTTGATACAACAGTATAATATGATTCTGTTAATCTGTTTTGGCATCAAGTAGTTGAGTTGAATAGTGCTGTAGTGAATAGTGAGTAGTCCCACGAATACAAATACAGTATACTACAAAAACTAATTTAAATACAATATCATGTAAATAATATTATGTAATTTATGACATAAGTAAATCATATAATTATTTTTAGAACGTCATATACAACCGTAATTAGTTTCTTAAAAGGTCCCCAGTCTCTAGCACCCTTTTCTAGCCAATCATTCGAGATTTCTATGATCGCATTCATTGTCACATATTGCAATTAAAAAATAAAACCCATCAACACTTTTTTTCGTTTGACCCACATGTAGCTGTCGAACATGTATACTGCCTCTTAACTACGGTATATGCGTAATTTTTTTCTTTAGGTGCATGATAGAGTGACAACATTTAGAGTATAGTGTTCCAGAGTAGCCTATATATTATTATTTACTTAATTTTAACACTTTCACAATAGCAATTATCATACAAAAAATGCATGTATAAATTGATAAACACTATGAAAAACAAAAAGATGCAAATTATTTATTTGCCAATTATAATAGATTATATATATTCTACAAAAATATTATTATTTTATTAATAACAATATCTGATGTGTTTCAAAAAATATTTATAAATACTTTAAATATAATATAGTTTCAAAAATATTTTATATATATATTTAAAATATTCTCAACACATATTTTTTTTACATTTAATAGGAAAAATATACATATACAATATGTATATTATAGATTCTATACTTAGTTTAACAATATATATTATGAATCTATTTTATATATTCAAAACTTATATTTAATTGATATTTTGCATTGCTTTTTGGTAATATTTAAAATATATATTTGAATATATCAAACTATTATTAAAGATATATTAATTATATATTTTATTCCAGGTTCTATCAAATACAACTTGGAATATATAAAATATATTTATAAAATACATATTTGTGCTACTAGGGCAATCTCCCGAAGTTTTTCTTTTTTGGAAATTTTGATGTTTGATGGTGAACATATAAATTTAAATAACACGATTTTGATTAAATTTTAGTATGTTATATTCCTTTTAATTCTAAACCCCCATTGCTGTAAAAATTACGGGTCAAAGGTTTTTGTAAAAAACAGCTGGGCCAATTTTAATAAAAATTTAGCATGTTATGGTCACTATGATTCTAAACAGAGTGGTACAACCCCCATTGCTGTAAAAATTATGATCAAAAGTTATCGCAACTTTTTTATTTTAACCATAGAATATCACAGTTACTCTCCCACTGCCTATGATAAAAGATTGTAGACAAGCTAATGGAAGAAAGTATGTGTCAGATTGCTGATACCGTTGTTACCAATGTTGTTTCTTAACAAAATTAATTAATCTGTAATGTGCACGTCCAAAGTAATAGGCGAATGTAAAGAAACAAAATAAACTACAGCAAAAATAGACATTCAACTCTAAAGTGACCACATAAATCTCTCAGATCCATCAGAAGATGTAGGCCAAAAATGAAACGCTTCAATAAAGAATCATATCAACATTTATTTTTGTCTAACCTCACAACACACAGCGGATGCCAAGTGTGTAGTTTGGGTCTGGCTAGGAGAGACAGCATGCGAGTGTGGCAATGTGCGGTGATTGTGCTGCTACTAGGCCTAGCTGAGTGCCACGCAACACACAGTACAGAGGCGGAGGTCAGTGAGACACAGCATGCCACGTGTCACATTGTCACTGACAAGCTGGTCGCCTCAGCAACTGCAACATTCACTCACGCTCTTACAGGAGTGTGTTCCAACAGTGAGTCTTAGCCTTCATCTAAAATTACGATTTGTATTTATTTATTTATTTTACCCAAGATCGTTTTTTAAACCAGCCATTTAAATTCAGTCCTTGCAATTGAAAAGATTCACTCGACAGTATTGTTTACTTGCATTACATTATTGTTTTGTTGCTTTACAGTACAAGTTTGGACCAATGAGGAACAGTTTAACTGATTAAACAATGAGTAAGTGGTTGGGACAACAAGTCGCTGCATCTCAATCAGTGGCAATGAGAGGTTATAAACGAAAACATAATCTCTCTTAGAAGTTATGAGTACAGTAGACTCCCTCTAGTTCGGCCACCTCGGGACCGGACCACTGGCCGAACTACAAAACGGCCGGACTAACCGGATGTAGTGCATTTTACATCATCAAAATACAAATCATAGTATTGCGCAATCGTGATATGTTAAGTCAATAACCTTGGTTCAGTAATAAAAACTGTAACGTTAAAATCACGCTTACTCAAGCAAAACAAAAATTACACAACACTGAACGTACAACAATAAATCACGTAAAGAACAGAAAAAAATGGTTACTAATCACCCAATCACAAACTGTTTTTGAGATAGCAAACAAGTGCACAGCAGACATCAGTTGTGTAAAGAACAGATGATTGTCAGTGCAAGCGGATAGCTTGACCTTGAAGCTAACGATGGCTATTTCTTTGTTTTGCTTTAATTTATTTTTGTCAAATAAACTGTGGTGTTTCAAAAATAATAATGGGAGAACCTACCGCATAAAAAAATGGTCCGAAATATTTAATTATACACTGCATTTCAACTTATTAGACCGAAGAGAAACTATTTATAAAATGTTCTCGGTATTTTTGAGGTTATGTAACATAGTTTTACAGGTAATATGCAACAATTCACCCATAGAAGCACCCGTCAACTAAACTGACATGAATTGTTTACTTCTCTGGCTGGAAACTAAACATTCAAGTTAAATCCTGTCGAAGGCAATTCCCCCGTGACGATGTGACTTGTCCCCCTGAGACCAGGCCGGACCATCCGGCGGCCGATCCAACCGAAGCCGAACTAGAGGGAGTCTACTGTAGTGATTTTTAATATACTTTTTAGTAGTGTAAGCAACTCTCGCACTCGCCAAGGCTCGTACTAAATTTTCTACTTGTGTCGTTATGACTATCCTTACACACCTACTGTACTTTAAACAGTCTGTTGTTAAATAAATGTGATATGTGGTTAGGCATGAAAATTAAGACTGTAATCAGTTTATTATGAATGACGTTTAAACTGAGAAAGGTTTTTCATCTAGGGGTATCACCATAAAAATTATAACTATATGTATTCTGTTTTAGAGGATTTAGATAAACATTTCCAAACCCTCAGGAAAGAATTTTATAGCCAAATAAACCAAATGTACTTAGTTATGTTGAAAACATCACAGAAACTGGCAAATATACAAGAAGTTTTAAATCAGAACAATAAACACAGGTAAGTGTAACAAGACTGTGAAATATAGTGAATTGTACTAATTATTAAAAATAACGATTGACTGTAACCTGTAATAGCTTAATTTTACATTCAAATCATGTAATTTTAGCGAATTTCCCATGTATGGAATAAGCTATTTTTATAGGTTTCATGGTAAGAATTAGGCCTGGGACCAATTTACTTTTTTGTTTTGAGGTCCCCAGAGGCCGAAAAACACTATCATTTCAAATTCTTTTATATATTACCTAATATATAATATCTATACATTTGATATTGATTTGATATTTGATATTTTACTTTATTTGAAAAAATTTTTGAAAAAATTATTCACAGAAGATTTTTAAGTTTTTTTGAAAAGAAAAATATTATCAACAAAAATCAGCACGGTTTTCGTGAAGGTAAATCAACAACAACGGCAATTTCCGATTTCCTTGAGATCATTATTGAGGCATTAGAAAAGAACAACTACACCTTTGGGGTATTCTTGGATCTCCAGAAAGCTTTTGACTGTGTGAACCCAACCATCCTTTTTGATAAGCTGGAAAATTATGGAATTAGAGGCTCCGCGCTTGAGTTAATAAAGTCCTACATGCTAAATAGAAAACAGTTTGTTTCAATCAAACATAATGATAAAGATTTCTTTTCTAACCACATAGAGGTGAAACTAGGGGTTCCCCAGGGTTCAGTCCTAGGGCCTCTTATTTTTAATTTACATTAATGACATAAATAGTGACGACACTGGCAAAATTATAACATACGCAGATGACACTTCTTTAATTTTAAATCATTCAAACTTAAATACTTTGGAAATCTCTACAAATATATTTACAACTGGCATAATCCAATATTTTAATGAAAATCATTTATCAGTAAATATAGATAAGACAGCTTTTTTGAATTTTTCAACCAGAATGTTAAGTTTTGACCCTAAAATTTTAGTGGAAGAAGATCAGGTCATAGATATTGTTCCACAAACTAAATTCTTGGGTCTCATGGTAAACAGTTCACTGAACTGGAATGATCATGTAAATTACCTTAGTACAAAATTATCAAGGTCAGTTTTTATATTAAGAAGATTTGGTAAGGTATGTTCTATTGAAACTTTGAAAACAATCTACTACTCATTTTTTTATTCCAATTTAACGTACTGTATCGAAATATGGGGATACACTACCAAAACAAACACAAATCAACTCCTAGCCATTCAACAAAAAGTTTTGAGGTGTATGGCGGGACTGAGCTTTGGGGATTCTCGTGTGGAAACTTTCAAAAATCTTGAGATTCTTACCGTTCCTTGCATAATCATTTACCGAGTTTTAATATATTTCAAAGCTAACATCTTTAAAACAACAAATGACCAAATTCACTCATATGACACTAGAGGTAAAAGTAACATCCATATCAGTAGGCATGACATAAGGCGACAAGCATTGGCAAGTATTTTTTTTGCTCCAAAACTTTGGAACCATCTACCAAATCAATTTCAAAATTTCCCTCTTAATCTATTTAAAAAGAAGTTGAAGAAAGTTTTAATTAAGCTCTGTTTGTTCACAATAGATGAATTTTGGCTAGTGACTAAAGATGAATTTAATTTACTAATTAAAGAATGTTAGAATATGTTAAGGTGAAGAAGTTAAATTGTGTTAAATTATGTTTATGTTAATGTTTAGGATTAATTGACGAGTTAGGAGATACTAATGTACCACATTATGTATTTTACTAACAATAAAGTTCTTGTATCTTGTATCTTGTATCTTGTATATATATACATATATAAAAATTTGAACGAATGGTGAATGAATGAATGAATGAATTAATTATTTCTTTATTCCAACAAAGTATATACAGAATATGTACACAAATATTTAAAGGAAGAAAAAAAAACATAAGTGAATTTAAGAATAAAATAAAATTAACCTTTACATTACATCTATGTTTAAAAAAAAAGCGTACATCTTTATAAGGAATAAGCCGACATGGGCAGCGAGCCTGTGCGTCGAATGTAGTTGCGTCCAAACATAAACATTAAAATCAAATGCAATAAATAAATAAATGACAGAAGATATGATGAGGTGAAAATAAAATAGGAGTAAATGGAGTTACGAGAACAAAAGTTTAAATAAAAATAATTGAACTGTAATAGTGACAGGAATTCTACGGCTTTGAAAGTGTGTCTGGAGGGGAGAAGTGGGCGGTGGATAACGAGTCAGGGTACAATGGTCAGGTCGCATGTCGTGTCAGGAGCGTCTGTGTCTGTAATCAGCTGTGATGATAAGCTCAGCCTCGTCCCTGCCTAGACCAAGTAACCACTCATTGACACGGCGGTTGAATATGTTTAAAGTGGGAGAGTCAAAGAGATTAACACTTTGAAAATAGTTTTGTAAGTTACGAAATAGGACGTGTGCAATATAAAATGAGTTGGTCGATGAAAAGGATTTGTACAGTTGTAGTGATGTTATTCCAATTCGGGTAGAATATCTAGTATTATGTGTATGGGAAATTATAGAGAAAATGTTGGTATAATTTTTAAAAATATGACTTTAAAAATTTTTTATGAAAAGTTGTCTGATCGTTAAAACTGACACATCCTTAAAGAGAGTGTCAGATTGGGTAACGCCTGCACTTCCCAAAACCAATTTTTAATATTAACTTTTGTGTTATGTTTAATGGCTCTAAAATACTTTTAGAACAACCCCCCCAGTTTATGATTGCGAATGATAAAAGTGATTGAACAAAAGCATAGTACATTAATTTCATTTCACTTTCATTTAGAATCTGATTCAGCTGACCGATAGCATTAATATATTTTCTAATTTTACTGTTTAAATATTGAATATGGCTAGACCACTTAAGACGGTAATCAAAGACCACTCCTAAATATTTGAATGACTCTACTTTTTCAATAGATTCGCATGTACAGTTGGCGTCAAGGTAATCACCACAGGTGTGAATGACGAGATTTTCTAGATTATAATCAGATTTTAAACTTAAAGAAATTGGCATACACTTAGTTTTTGATGAATTTAAAGAGAGTATATTCTGGTTTAACCATAACTTGGTTTCCATTAGGTCGTGCAAAGCTTTGTTGCGGGACTCAAGCCAAGTTTTACCGCTGTTCAAAATTAAAGTGTCATCAGCAAATAAGAAAAGCTTACCAAAATTATTAAGTTTTGAAATATTATTTATATATATTAAAAATAAAACAGGCCCAAGTGTACTACCTTGAACCACTCCATAGTTAACATATTCAATATTACTGTTGGTGTTAAGTATTGATACAAGTTGAGATCTTTGAGACAGATAACTTTTAAACCATTGAAGTGCGTTACCCCTTATGCCAACTGCTTCTAATTTGGAAAAAAGCTTAGATCGATCAACTGAATCAAATGCCTTTTTAAGATCTAAAAATATTAATATTGGGTGTTCATTATCTGAAATTGTCGAATTTAAGTCCCTATTAATGTCAAACAATGCATCT